TATACACTGTGGATTGGACATTCGAAAGAAATGGACTTTAGAGCGAAACATTTCGCTTGCCCCATATAAATAAAATCTAATTTAAATTAAATTTTATTATATTACTAATCTTTTGTGACATGTTTCGTAAATCGATAAATCAATGTAAATTTGCACGAAAGCAATGATAAATTTATTTTAAGATAGAATTATATTGAGAATAACATAATTAATTTACCCTTTGATAATCGCAGCGCATAAGGGGAAGGCAACAACACTGGCAAAACTTGAGCTTGAAATTTTGAGTATCGTCTGACATTGATATCACAATCTTTCACAAGTATTTCGTATTTCACTTACTATCATTCCTTCCTATTACTCCTATTCCAAAGTCGTTTTCGTTAAATTCTCTCTGTCACTTTGTTCATATGTCAGTAATCCGAAAATTAACACTGTATTAATAAAACTGCAAGTGTCCAAAAGGAAAAAGTTTTTTTACGTATAAATTTTTGTACACGCACTTTAACTTAATATTAACGCCGAATATTTAATTAATATTACATATATACCGATAAGAAATATAAACGCGTAGATTTGCAAAAAAAGTTCTAAATACTTAATAAAAATCTTTGGTTCTAAGAAACTTAATGTATCTATAGAAACAGTCTAAACAAGAATGAAGAAGTATCCGAGCCAGGGATAGGGCCGAGCTTTCTTATACGGAAGGCCTGAGGGAAGTAACAATCTGTCAAAACTTCGAAAGACTTCAGAAATATAAAATTTCTTTATACGCGCTTAAGGTTATGTGCCTCCTAAGGTTTATGATCGATTTAAATTTTTCCATAATTTATGCGATATAATTTGCAAAAAAATTACATAACAATAAGATACATATTTTTTTTCTAAAACTCATTATTCACGAGCCATTACTTTCACAAAAGTTTTTTTTGAAAGCTTTTTACGCGAGTTGTGAAAACAACATCGTATAAATATTCTTTTGTAAAGTAATAATTTAACATGATACAAGAATTGATTCATAGCAAATGTTTAAAAAAATTCTTTTTGGAACAAAAAAAAAAAACAAAGTCGGGCAATCTAATAATTTCGAACAATTTCGTACAAAAATAAGATAAATCTTGATTGATACGTTTCGTCCATGTTAATAACAAAATAGTTTGGGAAACACCTTCTCAACGAGAAACAAGAAAAAAGCGAAACCTTTTTTATAATTTTTCTTCAACAGATTGACGAATGATAATTCCTCGTCGGTTTTTTGTCGGGAATTTTTTATCAACAATTTTTTGCTATTCAACAACCTTCTTTTCCTGTTTATATAAATTATATAGGTTCGCGGAAAATAACGATTTCACTGAAAGGCACAGAGTACGTCCTCCTCGAAGGAAATTGGAGTTTCCTTGTTATCAACTCGTTAGAAAGATCAATTCGTTAGAAATAAGAGAAGATGCTATCATTAGTCTCGAAAATAAGAGAAAACAATAAACGTGAATAATTAGCAAACGAGGACGGACAGATCAGATCAGATCGAATAGATCAGACTTTCAAAATTCCAATATATCATCTGTACAAAAAAGTGCAAGCACCTTTGTTATTAAAAGTCTATCTGTGACAAAATTAGATACCCTTCATTTATCATATTCTATGTCTTTTACGAGGCAAATCTTTTTGTGAGGACGTTTTTCTTATCTGCAGGATGCAAAAAAAATATATTTCATTATTGACTCGAGACTAATTTAGTTAGTTTAAAGTTTCAAATTTATGTTTAAATTTAATCGGAAAAAAAAAAATTGAAAAAGAAAATGAACGGTATTACTGATGAAAACATAGATAGGTAACAAGCGTTTCACGAGATCAGAGAAAACATGCGACATTCTCATAATAAAAAAAAATGAGCGTGACTAACCTTCTGTTGCGCCAGCCTGAATGACTCCTCGAAATGTTTATGAACGGCTTGCTCAGCTCTTTGCTTCTCGAGTCTTTCCCGTTCCATCTTGGCCTTTTCCATCTCGCGCACCTCCGCTTCACGGCGTTCCCTGCAAGAGGCAAACAAACGAAAACACTCAGTACCGCCGTTATACGCGCGATTATGCGAATCGGTGCGTATAAATTAGCCTGCGGCTTACGAGGTCATTGGCAATTAAGAAACGGATTTACGGATGCTCCGCGAGCGCAACATCGCCGGATAAATTTCCGCTCCTGGATTTCCTGGATGCATTATCCAAGCCAGCATGTGATCTTAGTGCAACTTGTAGCCCTTAATTACAGAATCGTTAAAAACACAAACGCATACTTATTGATTATCGTAATCGCCGACACGCATACACATACAGACACGCACAGACTGGTGTTGCTCGATTGAAACTTTACTAACTTTAATCTCTCCTTTATTTACTCAGGTAGAAAGCGTAATTCGAGCCGAGTTCCAATTAATGAAAATTAGTTCCATCCATTTTCATTTTCGAGCTTTCCAAGTGGCGACGAAAGGCTAACGTCGCGAGGCGCGAACGTCTTTATACGTCGCGCCTCCGCAACGACGGTTAAACGATAGACGTAATTTATACGCGCGTAATTTATACACGGCCGTGTAAAGGAACTCCTCCTCAACCGCTCTTATGCTCCCCCGCGTTCAGCGTTCCTTATCGATTTATCTCTGCCCTACAGCCTGCGTATTTCGCAAGGCTCGGCGGAAATCGCAAATGGTGGTAACGCGAGGGGAGGGGGGGGGGGGAAGAGAAATGCAGGGGCCACGATTGCCCCTCTGTCTCTCTAGGGGCAACGAGCGTTGTCAGCTGTTACCGTTACCCGATGCCGAAATCAATTGTCGGATCTCCGCGTTCTCCGGTTACAAGAACGTTGCACGTTCTTTTTACGCTCCACGAGAGACGTACATTTTTATTGATTTTCTCTTATCGGTATTAGGTATCGGTTTTTTTCAATACGTATACCTCACACGACACGCACGCGGTCGAGAGAAGATTTATGAATAATTCGCATAAAAAAAAATTCAATCAATTTATTATACGGAGAATTTATTATACGCCTCTAGGGAAGGAACTGTCCTATTGTTTATTTTCGCGTGCGATCTTTCAGAGAATTCGCTTTGGAGTACGTAACTTTTATCTCTCGCCTCCTCGCGCGGCAAGAAATTCGCTCGGCTCGCATAAACGCAACGCGCATCGACGGAGATAATAAAACGCAAACGTCTGGCTGGCATATCTATCTCGCGACTCTTCAAAAAAAGGCAGGGAGGCGAAAGGAGAGGGGGGGGGGTAAGATAAGAGCATTCATTAACGCTTGCGCAAGTTATTTATACTGTTACGTGCGCAACGCGCGCGTGTTTATCTACACGCTCGGTCGGCGGACCTTACAATGCACGCGCGCGATAAATACGTCCGCGGGTATCTTTCTCTCTCTCTCTCTCTCTCTCTCTCTCTCTCTCTCTCCCCCTCTATCCTTCCCCCTCGTTTCTGTCCTCGCTGCTCTTCCTCTCAACCCTTTTATCTCAACGCGCGCGCACGAGTGCGGTGCACTCTGTTCTCACTACGCCTTTTGAAAGAGCAAAGCGCTGTTGATGTATGTGCAAAAATCTCTCTCCGGAAGAGGAATAGAAGGAAAAAAAAATAAGGAAAGATGCCGAGTCATCTTTTGTCTGTCAATGACAACAAGAATTTATCGCATTCTTAACTAACAGGTGCCTAAGGTCGAAAAACATTGTATGTAGAAAAAAAACAGAAGCTAGGACCTTGAGCATGATAAAGGAATAGGAATAAATATAATAATTCATATTTCTTTCTGTTGAGATGTATTTCTTTTTATATTATTCTATCATTTCTAATCCGAACTGCGAAAAATGTATCATGAATGTAACACGTGCGGCTCATTCTATGTTTGTATGTACTTCGGCATTTGCGACACGACTTGTTAAAATGCGTTTAAAAAGTGCATTATCGAAATTGTGTAAATATAGAAACTTATCTACTCTTTTGCTGGCAGTATCATGTTTGACATCGCGACGTCGAAACGCAATTATGTGCAAACCGCGTTATTAATCCTCGCTCGCTCGTGAAGTAACTTAAACTTCGTTATCTAGCGCTCTCGAAAAAGATTTTTTTCGAGGTCGCGAATGCTGCAAATAGCATAGATCGTCGGTTTTAAAGTGACTCGAGGTAATTGAGTCAAGCTTCCTCGGTGTTTGCATATCTAACGAATGGTGAGATAGCAACTTGGTTTCGTCAGAAAGATATAATGCTTTTAACATCTCTCGTAATTTACTTTTGAAATGGCAATTTTGAAAAATGACATTCATAAAAACAAAGTTCTTATCACCATATGTGTGTGTGTGTGTGAAAGTACATTATAATGCGACACAATCATCGAACAAATATGTGGCATATTTCAATAAATTGTGAATCAACTGTTAAGAACACATTTTCTACCTCCTTTTTCTCTCTCTCGATAAATTTAGATTCATTTTATTTATTAAAAACGTAAAATTTTCAAATCAATAATCATTTCATTATTAAAAATTAAAATATTGGAATTAATAATTAAATCTGAAATGTTTAGATAATTGTAATATAAAAATATCGTTCAAAGTAATTAAAATTAATATTAAAAATTTGGCTGTTCTTCGATTCAATAAAGAGCACATTTTTAAAGCTCATCAAGCCTTACGGAACTTGTATAAGAGCAATTATCGAGAAAGAAGCCAGATCCCGTTGGCATTCGCATTCGAGTTCGCACTCTTCGGAATTGCACGACGACGACAACGACGACGATATGCATAATGCGCGTGACATAATGCAATTCAGCAGCGAGAGTGGTTACCGAAGCAGAAAGAAACGAGACGAGGCACTTCCAGGAGATCTGCATCCGAAGAATCGCACGCATGCATTCTTAGAAGGTAAAAGGTGTCATTAGTGAGAGACCGTATACTCTATACATATATGTACTCTATTTTAAAAAAGTTTAAATTTTGAATAATAAAAAATAGAGAAGTTATATATAATTTGTCATAGTTTTAATAGTATGCACCTTTGTGAATGATGAAAATGATAGAAAGTATTTTTTTATTTTAGTGTAATATTTTAAAATCAAATGTAAGCCTAAAACTTTGAAATTCAGAGTTCAGCTTTTAAATTCGGCAAAATCTATTTTGTTGAAAGAGTAGTAAAAACTCAAATCCTACTTTTCCTAGGATGATAATAAAAGAAAAATCTAAATAATCAAAGTCATTCTCAGAATTCTTAAAATAGAACTTTTTAAAATATTTCCATTTATGTTCCGTTGTTAAGAGAAGGAGACAATCGAGAGGAAAGTTAAAAGAGAAAAGGAGGGGGGGAAAAAAATAGGAAAACGGTAAATAGAAATGATAAGCAAAAGGAGAATAGAGAAGGAAAAAATTCTTTTTTGTTGTCCTGTCCTCTGAAGCTCTCTCCAGTCTCGGTTGGACGTTCCGTAGATGAGGAACATCGGGTAAAAGAAGTCGTGCTAAATCTTATAAAACTTACAAAGAAACATCAGAAGAAATAACAACGATATTTCCGATCTCAATAAATAATCTTTGCGTTTCACATCTCATAAGCTGATTCCGTGCATAAATGTGTTTCGAAAGTCCGTGACAGAATTATGAGTGAGTGACACAAGATGAATAGATTGATGAGCTTGATTTCGTTGAATAACCAGCGAAGGTTAGGTTAGGGTTCGAGAAGTACTGAGGATTGGACTGCGTTCAGAAATAACACCCGAGTGCACCCAGAGGCCCTATTCTTTAAATATATCGCATACAAAAATCCTACGGTGTATGTAACATATACCATAGAATTTTCACATGATGTTTCAAGAATAAGAGCTTATCTAGACAAACTTGCATAGCAGCATAACCACATATGCGAAAGGAAAATCACCCAATCGCATTTCTATCATAAAGACACATGTAAAATTCGATTGGACAATTTTCCTTGTGCATATGGTTACGCTGCTATGCAAGTTTGTCTGGATAGATCTTAAGGATCCTGGTATCATTTAATTCTTGTTTAATATTCGACGAAAAACACAGATAATACATCCGGTATTTCTGAACTCGATTCGGCACACGTCATTGGGGCGGTCATTTCTCTCAAAATTTCTCTGTTCGATGTGGAAAGCCTGTGCGTAGATAAATACAGTGAGATTGTTTAAACATCTCGAAGCAGTGGAAAAGTAACGAAGTGAAATAGAAAATAGTCTGTGAATGACTTTCCATCGAAGAATCAACGTGGTAGATTAAGACGGCAACGAGATGGCTCTTCTCTCCTGGCCTGGATACAATCGGGACGATATAACCTATAAATGTAGATAGATATGAATGTGTGTGTGTGCGTAATACGACTTGGATGTGTGGATCTCACGACGTAAATAAGCACGGTAAGATTACTTGTAAACTTTTTCAATTTCTAAAATCTCTCGTTAACCCCCGTAAGGATCACGGGACATAATAGACGTATCTCCGAGTCTGGCTTTGCTTGATTATCTCCCTCTTTAATATTAATGATTTGCCCAAGCTTCCCAAGTACGCGTAAAATCGAGAAAACAAGCGACCGTTAGCGCAACACGCGCGCGCGCGACGAGTATAATATTATTCCTACGCGAAAGTGTTAAGAAATCGTGACCTAAGGTCAACCGGTTTGTATTCCAAGCAGCGATAGCGAAAGTCTCGCGTTACTGAGCGAGCAAATAATAACGACGCCGGTGCTTTGCTTTTCCGCTTTGCTCGATCAAAACAGATCCGTTTTTGCGTAATATTTACATCGGCATGGGTTATTCCCGGACATAACACGTGAGAAAATAGAAATTTCGCCGTGTTTCGGAGAATCCATTGATCAGCCGGAATATTAACGGAGAGAGTCGGTGTGTGTGTGTGTGTGTGTGTGTGTGTGTTTGTTTACACACACACACAAAAAAGCGCACAAGGAGACAACGGCTACAACTCCTCATTGTTATCTGATTGCTCGTCGCTCGAGGAATCTCAAGGACGACGCACGAAACGGATCGACGACGAATCACCTTGGCGCGAGATCGTAATTTGAATAATAAATAACGCGCGTTGCGTAAATCGCGACGCGTGCCGTGTCCGTGGCGTTTACGCAGCGGCGTTCAATTAAGGGATAAAATCGCGGACCCCCGCGAGAGATCGATCGGATGACGGATGAAATATAATCGTTCCCATATCGCTTATCGATCATGGCACGATCACGGGCATCGATATTTCACGCCCGCCTCGGGCACGATTATATACTCCGGACTCGTTTCCCCGATCGAATCTACACGAGTCTCATGAATTTTGCAAGGCGCCCCGGGAATTCCTCGCGTACCGCCTTCGACCTCCCGGTGCTTTGATCCAAATTCTAACGCGGTCAAGAACCACGTGCGCGCGATAGAAAATATCGAGTAGCATTTTCTAATCGAGCGCCAACGATAAAATCGCACGTTTCACGTTGGCTTTACAGCGGTTCCCCCCCCCCCCCCGTAATGCAGAATAATACGTACTTTCGCGTTCATGTAATTAATTTTATCGACGCGGCATTAATTATGCTATTCAACGTTAGCGCTCTCGCCTGTTTCAACAGTTACGCTCCGACGAATTATAATTGCATTCTGTATTCCCACCTGCCACGTAACGAGATATTTCACGGTGTGTATTCGAAAACGAGCACTTCCGTCGTTGCTAAAGATTCGCCGTCGCGCGGCATTTTATGGCTTTGCAATTCCGAAACGAGCACAGTTCCGAGAGGAATGTTTGCCAGTCCCGGTATTCCTTCGACGTGGCTGTCCGTCCTTGTTTGCGCGCCTCTTTACTCCGTCGTGCGAGGTGAATGCATTCGAGAAGGAAGCCAGCGTTAATTTTCCTTCCACGACCATTAAACTTCGTGCCGCGTTTCGCAATACATCTCGAGCATGACGGATACGGACGCAAACTACGAACGTGATCTAGAACGATGGCTGGCTATGCCTAACCCGATTTCGCCGTTGACCGTGATAATGCTGTTAGATTCGATAAAAAAAAAAAATTAAGTTGATTTTCCTTATAAATAAACTTGCGTTTACGTAACGCTAGAAAAATGAAAAGAAATCGAAAATCGCTTCTCGGCACAATTTAATTTTACAGTTTTTAAATGACGCCCTGAATAATCAAAGAATTTCTTTGACAGATCTAATTCAATGCGAATCGAGTAAAGTAACAACAAACAAAAAGAAACCGTACGTGTGCATACGTGCGGATATAAATTTCTGTCTCGATGTAAATTTGAACGAAGAAAAAACGCAACATATCCGATACACGCGCGGAGTTGTACAAAACACGAGACAATTTGCAAGGTAAATTCAACGGGCGCGTAAATAGAGCCGGCGACCTTTGTCGAGGCGATTTTCAATCTTCGCCCGTCATGTTGAGAGAACGCGACGGAGATACGCTATGAATAAGATAATAACGAGGAAAAATCGTCATCGAGCATGAGGACAGACTGACGAGGGTTTCGCGTTGCGTAACTCGATCGTCGCGAAGACGAATAATTTCGATCGCGATACGAGACTGATTATTAAACACACGTGAGCCTTAAAAAAAAAAAACGAAGCGGCGTTCAATTTACCACTGTTGGAGAGACAAATGATTTTTCTCACAGACCGAGGTCAACCGGCCGATCGACCGCAGATTCCATGCGCCAAGGTAACGGCAATGAATATGAATCACGAACGTCCGATTAGCCGCATTAACGACCGTCCGGAAAAAATTTTCTTTCGCCGGAGCTGCCGCTCCTCCGAGAGCGATGTGGTGACCCACTTTGCGCGCACCAACACAAGCCGCGATAAATCTTTCTATCTGGAAGCGAGGAGCGTTATCTAAATTTTGAAAAATCGTTAAGAAACTGACGTAAAGAAAGATAAAATGTTGGAACGATAACATTTGATTTAAAGTCTTGTCACGCGGCAATGAAAATTCTAAACTCTTTCTCTCGGCGATTTTCTCGAAAATTTTCATCCTATCGTGTCTTCGAATGACATTCAGATCCGTCGGAATCTCGATATTTGAAGAATCAGCTTCTCCAGAAGGCATTCGAAAAGTTAAGGCGACATTTCGAAAGAAGAGAGAGAGAGAAAAAAAAAGAAAAAGTATGATGCAGACATATTTTCGAATATCACGAAAATACAGGCGTCTGTCGCTTCCGTAGGATGAGAATATGTTAAAAAAGAAAAAGAAAATGCTGAAACGTGAAACGCGTGAATAAAACTCATTAGTCCTCCGGCTGGCCGCGATGCGTCCTCCCCTCCCCCCCCCCCGCGTTGCGCCTATGTTGCGCCTATATTGCTTTATACGTATCGCGCGGTAAATTAGCGCTTGCATTCCTACGCTTTCTGCACCCGCCGCGTGATTATCGTGGTTTCTACGTGACGTAATTCTACGCAGACGGAAAACAACGAATAGGAGAGAGACGGAAAGACAGAAGGAAAAAGAAAAATGAAAAACGCAGGTGGGAGGGGAATGAAATCGAGAAACGGAATGAAATTCGTGCGCGCGCGCGTGTGTGTGTGTGCGCGTGCGCGTGCGCGCGCACTCTCGTCTTACACTCTCGTCGTGTAAGCGTGCGCGTACGTGTGCACGACCAATGCATCATTTAGATAGCCTGGGTATATCACGCCGAGAGATACGCCTCGGCGTAACAGCCACGTCTATCGGGTGACGCAGAAGTGGCCACGTAGACGCGACGTCTCGCGCGCTCGTGGGAACAATACGATCGCCCGCCGGTGATTTATCACGCATTTGCATTACGTCGACTTGAGAGGAGTCGTAAATCACAACGGTCGCGCCGTAAAATAATCGCGCGGTCGAGAGTTCCCGGGGAAAGCCCGGTAATTGAGTAAACGAAAAGCGAGGCGGCGGCCTTGGCCAAAGATGATCTATCCATTTCTGGATCATTAGCCTCGGCTATGATATAGGTGGAGAAAGTGTGCTTGACTAATGACACGCTCGTGGAAGACATCGCGGTTGTGATTACGACGGTGCTCCGTTCCCTTCCAGATTGTGTGCGCGACGATCTATATTATTATTATCCCGCGCACGAAGCGCACTAATGAGGTGTATACGTGGTTTCTTAAAATAACCGAATAACTTATGGTCAATTATGGTGGTTAATCACAGCTTCAACAAAGTTGAAATTTTGTTCGACGATGGATGAGTGCCTTCGTCTAAGTGCGCGTATAAATAAAGGCAAAAGTTTGTATCGTTTTCTCGGACTCGCCAAGTTTCTGAAGAGCTGAAGAGGTCGGTGTCCGATATACGACCGAAGCAGCGGGCAATAAAGCACGACGAGAGGCGTCCGCGCGTGACTTTCGTTTTCGTTGTCTTATTGGCACGCATAACCCAGAAATGAGCGACGCGCCAGCGAAAAGAAATGCGATGATGGCGTTTATACGGCTGTTCAATTTCAACGAAAGAGAAAGACAGGTTTATTCGGTTCTCTCGGATAAAATTCTTCGAGCACACAAACGAATATCGCAGAAATGTTATGTTCATCAGAATCACTGAGAATCAACAGCAAAGTATACAAGAATACGCTTGCTATCGTAATCGTACGTATAAACGTGAATTCACTCCAGAAATTTATCAAAGGAATTTAGAAACGTGTCCTTTGTAACGTGTCACGTGTTACATCGCGCGCAGACGTGGAAAATAGAAATAAGAGAAGGAGAGAAAGAATAAGTCGGAGTGATGAATAATATAACAGATACGCGCGAATAAAGCGGCTCGCGATGCTCTCCGCCCCTCCTCCCCTCCCCCGCCTCTCTCCTGAATCGCTGCGCGTACGTTTAAGGCAACAGATTTTCTCAAGTTAATGAGAGCGAGACTTTTGTTTCCCCGACCGGCTGCCACACTGAATGAACTGTGTCACACGCGACGCATTTACGACGGCGAAACTAGTTCCGCGAACTGTCGGCCGACAACGGTCTATAGAGGGCCCAACGGGCGAGAGGTTGCTCTCTCGGTAAATGTCACTAACCTTACGGCTTCCTTCCCCCTTCTCCCCCGCCCTTCCCCCCCCCCCTCCTCCCCGCCCCTCGGCTCCCAGCTCTCGCCGTCTAGTTTCTCCGTCGAAATGCGAGCACCTGCTAGCTACGCGGCTATACGCCTCGTGCAACTCGCCTCGTGTGTTAATATCCGTCGCGGAACAAACGTCTCGGCATATATTTACGTCGGATCCGATAAGTGGTTCTATATTTGACCTGTCGTTCGCGCGACGACACTCGGAGCAAGCGCAATATGCCGAATCGCGATATCTCGGGACAAGCCGGTATTTCGCCGTTCGTCGTTGTCGTCGTCGTCTCTAAAATAGAGACTACGCAGATTACTCGCGCAATTTTTCGCGCTATTT